ACCGTGGCTAAAGAAAGCGAAATTTAAGAGTTACATTTGTCAGACTGTGTGTGCTTTCATCAGCGGTGTCTTTTCTGACCTCACCCCTCATACTGTCAGATATTTAACAAAAGCCGGTATCTGTGGCTCTGTGTATCAGTGTTCTCCGGCTGTCAGTCGGCCCTGTCCCACTGGACAGACCGATCACAAGAGCTGTTTTCTCTAGTCTTTCCCCTCATTCAGCCTGCAGCCTCCAGCAGGGAGTGTGTGCTTTCCTGTTTGACCCCACTGGCAGGTTCAGCCAGAGGCTAAGGGTTCAACGGCCACAGCAGCTACACATTTTTCTCTGCCTGCTCAGCCAAGCTTACTGTGTGCACTTGTCTGTCACCAGCCTTTATTCATCTAATGGAGTTTTCTATGTATGTTAACATGCAGGGAAGTCGACTCAAAGTTTAATCACGCAGAAAATGGAAAAAGGCTTCCCTGCACCTGACAGGACCTATACACCACCATAAACACACACTCTCTCTCTCCGAGGGGTATTATGCTGCTACATTTATGCGTCCCATCTGTCTGCAGGTGGTCACGCTGCCTCACAGAAACAGCCGTGAGTTTCAAATAAGCAGCGGGGCTGAATTGTTGCCGCTGCCTCTCCTCAGTGTGGGACTACCCAGCCATCACAAATGCTCTGAAGGCATATCAGTAGCAAAAGTATTTTTCTTCGGGATGCATGTTCAAGTGTGCCGCACCATCTGGGGATGGCCAGTATACATTGTTTTGTGCTCCATTAGTCATACATCCTCCTCATCATCATCTGATGTGAACACTTTGTTTCACTTACTACATGGTGGATACGGAGGTTCTGTGATGCTACTGTGTTTTTCTCTGTGGAGAAGGGAGAAAGGACGAAGTGAGCTTGAAAAGGAGCCTCTTATTTGATCCCCACTAAGCATTCCCACAGCAATCTAATTGGGAGATTATTGTTTTAGGAATTCAGAATGATCTTAAATTTGTTTATTATCTTGAGTATGTTTGGGTATTTTTTGACTGTTGGTCAGACAAAACAAATGTTTCTGAATTCATCTGAATATTACACAGGGCTCTGGGAAATAATGGTGACATGTTTTCATTATTTTATGACAGTTAACAGACTAAGCAGCAAATCTATTTACAAAATGAGGAACAGAGCAGATTATGAAAATAATTGTTAGTTGCCTCACAGATTAAACACTACATCATGAATACAAAACTAAAGCTTGTGATTAAAAAATTTCAATATGCACAAATAAAAAATGGAGAGACCTGGAAAACAGATCCCTGTCACTCTGTGTAGTATTGTACAACCACCTGGGACACCCGTGCAAGGATTTTACACTAAAATGTAAAAAGGTCAAATTAATTCTCGAGTCACAGACACTCAGTAAGAAGAGTCAAAGATTGTGTCCCACTTCTGTACAATAATACTATACAATGTGTAATGTATACTAATTTGTCACTGTTTGCATTTGTGCAGACTTGCACTTACAGTATAGATATCAGAGAGCACCTTTGGCATGTCACTGAAAATAAACCTAATAAAGAGAAAGCAAAAGAGTTTAGATTTAAATATTTACCACTGTCTGCATTTTTTAATCACACACACACTGATACAAGAAATAGTCACCAATAGTTTTTTAATTTTGCTAACAAATTGTGATTCAAATTCAAATTTCTGCTTGATGGTAAAAGCCTGCTGTAGCATTTAAAATAAAGGCAGAGACATATGCTTTGATTAAATAATGACACTTTGAATGCTGTATTCGCTAGTTATATTTGAGCATAGCGTCCATTTCCCCCCTTCCTCCTCTGATGGCTTTGTGTGACAGACTACTGACTTGTCTCCAGTATAGTGTCTCACCATACATCTGCTTTATGTGCAAGCTGCTTCTGACTGCTCTCTGCCAGCAACAGAGGGAAAACATTTGGCACATTTGGAGAAATGAGATGACCTGACTTCAAATGAAAATACATGTCTGTCTGTCCCCAGTGAAACCAGGACACTGCAGTTGCTGAAGAAATAACATGGCTGCACTTCTCCTACTGCAGTTTTTTTTTACTCTCAGACGAATGCCATTTAAAATTCAGACCAAGAAACTATTCTAAATCCTAGTGCAGCAGCATAATGTCAGCTTTATGCAAGTCTGCTTAAAGATTCTGCAGAACTTTCCAGCAGTTGATGCTGTCACTGTTTCATAGCTAGTCAAAGACACATCTTGTCTCAAAACTGCTCCCCAAACTCAGTTAAGACCAAGAAACAATAAATATAAATCATCTCATTCTAATGAAATTTGCTGCTCATCTTACTATCTAGAGCCTGGTCACCTGCCTGAACGACTACAGGCCAGTGGCACTCACCCCAATTATTATGAAGTGTTTTGAGAAAGTGGTGCTGGCCCGCATTCATAGCAGTATACTGAACCCCCTGGACCCCCTGCAGTAGCCCAACAGGGCCACCTCAGACACCATCGTGGCTGCCCTCCACCATTCCCTTTCTCACCTGGAC